GACTCCCTGCGGTGGGCTCCACTCCCGGCTCCTTCCCGAGGTGTTGGTTTTGGCGAGGACGGGAGGGACTGCGGGTGGGCGAGGGGCATTTTCTGCCTGGAAAGAAGGAGGAAGGCGAACAGCAGCGCGGCGGAGCTGAGTGCGCTTGGGTTACCCGCTGGGCAGATTCGCTGCCAGGGTCTTCGTCCCGCTCGTCTCAGCCAATTCCCGTCAAGGATGCAAGTGGCTCTGTGGGCTGCGGGAGCTCGTGTTCTTCACAAAAAAATAATTTAATAAGTGGACGGTGCCAGGAAGTGGCCTCAGCTACAGGGACTCACGCGAGGCGAAGAGAATGGAGACAGATGGAAAGAAGCTGTGTGTCTGCCTGCGGGTCTGAGGAAGTCCCCATCCTTCCTCTGTCCACCCTCCTTCCATAAACCCTGTTCCTTAGTTCTGTACTGAGAAGTACAGACGTTTGTTTAAACCCGCGCCACTATCAAGAGCTTTAAAAAAAAAAAAAAACTTGGAGGGCGTCCCATTAGAGTAAGGAGGGTGCAGAGTCACTAGGGTTGATCATAATAAACCAAATGTCAAGAACTTTTAAGAAAACACTTCTCCTGATATTTTTACCTGTAAAGAGGTAGCGTTTCTTGACCAAGCAACACTACCGAGCTGAGACTCCTTAGTTCATGATTTCCAATTTAGGGAATAGAGAATATTAGAAAATTTACTACTGCTCCTTTTGGTAATGCAGATTATCTTCTATCATTTCTTCATCTCCACACTGTAAGTATTATGTCATCAGAAATTATCTTATGAATTGATGATTATCTTCATTTTACAAGAGACGACTGATTGATTTGAATCTTAATAAGTCTTGGTTTGATTGCTGGAAGATATGCAATTGTATTTCAGTCTCTTTATAACTTTTTATGTACACTATTCCTGTAACCACTGAGGAAGCTTATCAACTTCCTCCCAGTGGTCTTAGAAACTTTTGAGTTAAAGGAAAAGAAGAATGAAATGCACAGGAGGAAGGTGATAGAGAAATGAGTGATACCTAGAACTCTTACTGTTTGTTTGTTTGTTTGTTTATTTTCTATTTGGTCATTGAAGATTGCAGCACAGTGATATTCAGGGGGAAAAGGTTCCAGGACATGTACACGTATTCTACTTCAGTTTCTTAATTAAGATACACTTTTTTTCAGCATCTGAAAATTAATTAAAACTCTAAATGTCATTAATCATCAATGCAGCAGAGTGTTGGTGGAGCAGCTGATAATGTGTTCAGAACCACAAGAGATACGTAGCACAGCATTCATAGTTAGGAAGAGTGAGATGAAAGTATGCAACAGTGTGGTTTCAACTCATCTCAGTCCTGACTTCATCCTCCAGGACCTTCAATGCTATGGATGAGAAGGCTGTTTATTTTAGCTAAGCTGCAATACAACAGGCCCTTGAATGGAAGAATAGGTTAGGTGTTACTATAAGCTGAGGTTTCTCAAATGTCACATAACAGCAGGTCTTCTGTGACAAATCCAGTGGAATCTTTACCAAGAATTCCACCTGAAAATTTAAATATAGATATGGCATGGAAAGATCTTTGAAATTCAGGTTGTTCTGGGATATATATTTCCTGTTTCTAGCAAAAGGTATAGGCATTGTCTTTTTAAATGCTGTATTATAAGGATTATTACACATTTATTCATGCCCCAGCAGGTGGCAGCTAACTAGAATAAGATTCATTTTCACTGGGAGAATAGAAAACTAAAATTGCTTCTCAAGTAATACTGCCCAAGAATAAGAGGTCATTAGTGTCTGCAAATGTAAAAATGTAGTGAAAGATGAAGCTAACTTTTTTTTTTCTTGTTTTTGTTTTTGGAACAAGCTTTGCATGAACATGATACTCATTTTCTTCTTTGTTAATTTATCATAGGCTGGATATTTCTTCATGTCAGCCTTCTGTGGTATTTTGATTTGAGGGGTTTACTTTTAAACACAGCTCCTCTCTGGGTGTGCATGTGTGTACTTGTAGTTCGTCATTTCTGCTTTGACCTTGGAACCTACAGAGCTTTGGCTCCTAGAAATAAAGATTGCCATATGGTTAAAATGAGAAAAAAGCTAATGAGACCAAAGAATGAAGTATATCTATCTCACTATTACTAAATATATATGACCACCTGACACCCAATAGTGTATTTTTTTTCCTTTGAGAAAGGAGCAAATTACAGAGCTGACACAATTTTATAAAGAGATTAAATCTAGTCAGTTAAATACTATATAGTGACTTTATTAATCCTTCATGTAGCCTCAAAACTATCATGTATGATATTGGTATTGGAGAGAAACTTGTAATAACTTGAAAATTTCTATATAATAAGGCAACTCTTATATCACCAAATCATCTTGTTGTAGTATTAGGGAGGTTGGGAGGCCAAATTAATGTTTTTTTCTTTTTTTGTGTGTCCTGGGGAATGAGTGAAGTTTAATGAGAGAAAAAAAAAGAAAATTCATCTAATTACCCTTGTAACAGATGGAAATCTGGAGGTGGAGAATTGAAAGTGATAACTTATTGTACATTTTAAAAATGTCTTTAGCCACTGAATTGACAGCATGTTATTCATATTGTGGTCTGTTTTTTTGGTACTGAGAAACAAGTAATTTAGTGTTCATGAGGAAACACAGTTAATGTAAGTGGCTTTTAGTAGTATGCCCTGGAAAGGAAGGATGATTAGTACACCCTGAGTATGTTAAGCAATCCCCGCTAGTGGCACTGAAATATACACACAATACCATTGACAAAATAGTCCTCTTGACAATGTGAACAATGCAATAAGTCAAATGCTCTGACTCTGTGTAGTAGAAATATGCACAGTGTCACTCCAATGGCATATTATCCATTCATTGTACTACTTTGAATGTACTACTCCAGAATAAATCGATGCCTGGAGCGCTGTCCGCGGTCCTGAAGAAAGGTTGTCTTCAGTCTTGCAGAAGTTCAATTGGACAGGTGGAGTTGCTGAATATTGTGTAGAAGCCTTCACCTTAGTTAATGGATGTAAATGAACCTAATTTAGCATATGGGCAAAATTAGTACTTTAGGGACCAATTAATAGTAAGAAAACAATTATGCTAGATATTTTACTGTTTAATTTATTGCTTAAGAACTTTATGACTCTGGAGGCTTGATGGTTCACTTTTCGAACCAGACATCAAATAAATAACCCCACAACAACTAAGTAGTTTTGAATGCTAGTTTTAAGTAGGCAAGTTAGAGATGTAATGTCAAATGTCATTTTGTTAACAGAATACATGAACAAGGAGATATGGTACATTTTGTTTTCTCAGGTTCCATTATTGCAGTATTTTGATTTAGTCAAAAGAGAACATATTATTTTCAGGTAGCAGATCTCAGTTATATTGACAAATGAAAATACGAAGAATTACTATTGCCCTAGAAGTCATTATTATCTATACTAGGATTGAAAGGAAAATGAACAAATAGAATGGAACAAATGAGACAGCAAATACAAGACAGAACACGTTGGGCTGTACATATTTTATAAGGGATATTTTAAACATGGACTGAAGGAGTCGCTAGATACCCTTGGTTTTAGCACTAGGTGTTCCTTTTAAAGTGCTCAAATAGTCGAATTATTTGATTGAATTGCCTGCTAGACTGCAGAACTAACCATTCATGATACTAATTTTTGACACTGCAGTTATGCCTCCATCTTAAAAAAAATCAGTGCCACTTAGTGCCTTTGCAAAATGCAGATTTCTTTTCAAATCAGCATTTTGTAATATCTTAAGAAAATATAGATTGAAAAAGATCACAGTGATGAAATGAAAATGTTCATTGTTTTCTTGCTGTTTGGAGAAAACATAGTAAGACTTAAATAGTACTTCTATCCTTATTATAAAAATTAGATAGTCTTTAAATAGGATATGATCTTGTATTTTTTCATAAAGCTTAACCTATGCCCTGTTAGTTGGTTATGAAAAGGAGATTAACTATAAGACATAGGTGCAACAGTTTGCTTATTGTGCTAATCATTTAAAAATATTAACAGTGACATATTTGTTATCCATGTTAGTTTCATTTAGTATAAAATATTAGCCTTTGATACTTTGATGTATGGATGCCATATTACCTATTTTGACAATAAGATGTATTTTATGTTAAAAGAAAATCTATTTCGGTTTATTCAAGAAAATCTTAAATAAACTCTTGCTTGTGAAACCAAGAGAGTCACTACCTGGGATCTCTAAATATTTCTACCAGACAACTGGAAAATGATAAGAACTTTTTAGACAAAGCTATGACATTCTATGTTGTTCAGGCTATGACCCCATATTCTACCTCTTTAAAAAAAAGTTCATTGACCCAAAATAAGAAGAAATTTGGGGAATGAATTATTGAAGCCTTAGGGGTTTGTGACACCAATTCAAACATTATGCCTTTTATGTATGCACAATTATTTTAGATATGCTAAAAATGGGTGGGAAAAATGATTCTTTCATTTTAATGTAATAGCTCTCCTAAAAGTCTACTTAAAGAAATTTCTCCTAGGTAGCAATCAAGGATAACCTACTCAGGACTTTAAAGACTAGTTGTACCTCTCCATTTGCATTCCAATCTATATATAATTTTCTGGATAAAATTTTTAAAAGTGTAAATAAGATTCTCTTTTAACTTAACCATAAGTTAGATTTGCAGTAAATTCCTCCGTCTTTGATCACTTCCTTTTTTCCTCTCTCTCTCTTTTTTTCTTTTAAATACAATTCCCAGGTAAAATGACTTTGATTTAGCTAGTCATTTATTCAAATTCATCAGTTGATTGTAAGAATTCTGCTTACATGCACCAGTCATTCTCTTTGCAAACACTCTTACTGAAAATAAAAGCAATTTTTCTCCATGTAAATAAATCCGACTTCTTTCTTGAAACTCAAGGCAGGCTATCAGATCAGTTGCATAATAGATATTGGGAAGCTCGCTGGCAGGAAGCCTTAAGAGGCGAGCAGCTATCTCAATTTTTCTCACTTAATCTTGGCTTCACGTCAGAAGCTGTGCAGCAGTGCAGTAGAATAAGGCCTGGCAAATCCTTCGCGAGCAAAGCTTCTTTTGTGCTGGGACTGTGGCTTGCAATCGACACCTCCCTGCTTTCCAAGGCTGGATTTCTTACTGATCTTGCTCCCCTTTGCTTCCCAGGCTCGCGGGCCGGACGTTGTGGGTGTGCGTGCTGGCTTTCTCCCGGATGCTCTCCGACTAACATGGATGTCCCACCATCCCTTGCAGTGGAAGGTTGCTCCTTGGCGCAGTGAGTGAAGAACATGCAGCGATTGCTAATGGGTTTGGGAAGCGGAGACTCCTTCCTCTCTCTGTGACCATGCCGTGATCGTGTCTGCGGCCACCACTCGACGCATCCTCATTTCTGCCCGAACCGGGAGCCTAACGCTAGATCGGGGAAGTGGGTGCCGCGCGTGTGGGCACAGAAACACCATGAAGATTATTTCCCCGATTCTAAGTAATCCAGTCTTCAGGCGCACCTTCAAACTCCTGCTCTGTTTACTGTGGATTGGATATTCTCAAGGAACCACTCATGTATTGAGATTCGGTAAGATTCCCCATCCCTCCCCTTTGCCGGTATCCGGCTCCCAGGCAGCCGGATGTAAACAGGCAAGTTCGCTCTGCCTGGCGGTGGGCTCGCCGCGTCCAGCCCTGCTCACTGCGCCGTCTCCTCCCGGGGTTTTAAAGAAACGCCTGTGCTTTCATTTATTTTCCCTTGATATTTTTAGCCGCGGGAGGGTGAAGGGAGTGCCAGTGTATGTTAGTGGTCGCTACATTACCGTCCTGCTGTAGCTTGCCACACAGATGCTAACAGCGCTGGGGGCACGGCCAGCCTGTTTCCCCCCAACCTTTTGGGCTTGGAAGGGTGCGCGGTCCGCGCCAGAAAGCGCGCGCCAAGCCACACACCTCTCCGTCTGCGGGGCTAAGTTAATATTTGGTAACTCTTTGGCGAGTTGCGCCGCCTGTCAGCTACTGCCCGGGACCAGAGCAGATAGATCCTCATGCACAAATGAAAGGCACTAACCCTTTTGATATCTTTTGCTAGAGAGCCTTTTCCCTTTGGTTAATTTTCACCTTTTTTTTTCAGTTTCTAGTCCCCTTACTGGGATGCGGGGTTTTAAAAAAATAGTGTTCTAAGATTCAAGGCTCAACTTAACACAGAGAGGCTGTTGCTCAGCCAGAAGGGAATAGCCCGTAGTAAGAAAGGCTTTATTGTTTGGTTGGTTTTTGTTTTTAACTTGCTGAGTCCTTCCTCTCCCAGCTTTCTGTGCGTTATGGACTAATACATGACGGACGGCAGCAATGGGGTGGGGCGGGAGAGTGGGTAGTTGGGTATGAGGGTCTTAAGTCTGAATCTTTATTTCCCTCTGGCAAGATAAAAAAAAAAACAGGTAGTTATAGTTATGGGAATTTATTGCCTTCCTGAGAATCAGGGTTTCCTTGGAGATTGAGGGAAAATCTAAACGTGGGATTCCATTGGAAACCCTAGTCAGAGGGTTTGCTTAGGGAACAAAAATGAAGCCTGGGCAACACTCAGCTGCTCTGATGGCCAGTGGAGTTTAGTAGGCGAAGAACTAGGGAAAGAAAGTTCCCTATGTAGGTAAGGGAGAGAGGGGATAAGCCAACTGGGTAAACTCTGGCACCACAGGCACTTTGAAAGTTCAAGTAGATTCAGACCAGAGTGCAAGAACCCATGTAATCCCAAGTGTGTATCTTTTAGATAATAACAGATACATTGCCACTCACTCGAAATTAAATCAAAGAGTGAGTGCTTGCATTTTGTATTATGCCAATAGCATCTTATGTCTTTCCAGTTTCCCCCTGTTTTTCCCCCATATAATAAAATTCACCATCTCTCCTGGGCTTTATAAAATCAAAGTGGGAATGCTTTCACATATATTTGAAGAGGGAAGCTCACCCCTCTCTCTCACACACACATAGACATCTGGAGTCAAAAAGGCTGGTAATGACAAAAGAGACAATGGATTATAGTTGGATTCCTACTATAGTAGTTTTCCTGCTTTCTTGTGCCTTTAGATGGTACTTAAGCACGTTGCTCTTAGCAACAAGCATCCACAGGAATGCACGTTTCCTTGGACAGGATTAAACAGGGTCTGTATAACCACTGGACATTGTGTGTGTGTGTGTGTGTTAGCAGTTCTGCTTCAAGGATGATAAATGCTACACTATGGTTGTTTTGCCCAGTATTTTGAGTATTACAGCCTACTTATGGGGAATTCTAATTCTGTGAATGAGTGTGCATTAGTAAGTGTGTTTGAGGACTGGATGGGAAAAAAAAAAAGACCTGATGCTGGAAAACTCCCACCAATATTCTAAAGAATTAATTACTGTTGCTCTGGTCTTGCAGCACAATATTTGCTGAATCATTAGATTGTTACATTCGCTGATCATTTCATATCTTCATATTAAAAATCTTGGCGACTGTAGCAGAGTGTGTAGCAGCTTTCCAAAAGATCTCTCTCTCTCTGCCACACACACACATACACACACACACCCACACACAAATATATTTTCTTAGGCCAACGTTCACTAAGAATGTCCTTAAGAAATAGAGTACTAGGCAAATGTCTTCACACCAGTCCCTGATAGCCTAAACCAACAGCCTAGTTTCTAGACAACCTGTTATTTTCTATTAAACATTGACTTCAAACATTTTCCACGTGGAGATCCATTTTCTCTGATTTCTGACCTGAGTTGTGGAAAAGGACTGTGTACATGGTAATCATTGGAACCTTTCCCTCTTGGGACTATTTTGATGCGATGGTGGGAGTTTTATTTTCTTCTGGGGTAAACATGTTCTGAGTAGATTGGATGGTTGGTTGAGCCACTCCGGAGAATGGTTATTTTCAGCTTGGCTCTAAAGTGGATCTAGTGTCTCATCCCTGGCCCTGTGCCTTGGAAGGGAAGGAGTTGGAAGTGCTGGTAGATCAGCCGCCCGGGTGCTGGAGGGACCCACCGCCTCTGCAGCGGAGACTGCATCTAGTGCCCCTCCCAGCCCCCACGCCGAGAGAGGCTAGGCGCCTCCAGCCGCTCGGAGCCTCCGCCGCGGCGCTATAGCAACCGCGGAGCCTGCCCGGCCGCCACCCCAGCCCCCTTCCCCGCCAGGGGAAGCTCTGTGTAGTCCTCTTCTTTCTCCCACTAGGATTGTGAGTCGACCCTGCGTCTGCTATCACCGGCAGTGAAGCTAGGGGTCCACCCTAGTTTAGGATGCCGCCCTCTGCCTGGTCCCACGTTTACCCCCGCCGGTCTTCTGAGCGCGCAACTCCCGCCCCCGGATTCCTACCCCTCTTTGGCGCACACAAGTGCGCGCGCGAGCCGGCAAACGCGCTTTCTCAAAGCGAGTCTCTGACTTCAGCACAGTGACTCCTCTCTAATGCACAAGAAAACTTGGCAGCTGCTTTCTGGGGCGCTTCTGTCCTGCTCCCCTCTCCCCAACCCCTGCAGCCGCTTAGCAAACGTCTCCAGGAATAGGTGTGCGTAGCACCGACCCCAGGGCACTATCCCGAGGCTTTAAGACAGCCTAGGGTGGTGGGGTAAGCGAGCTGCTGGTCTGCTAAGATTCAGCTCCAGGTAGACCAGCAGGCGAGCACCCTCGCGGTGGGTCGTGGGGGTTTCCTGGTTTTAGATCCTAGGTCGTCATAGTTGCCTTTTCCCGAGTGCGCACCCAGCGGGCGTGCTTTCTGGGTGCAAAGTGCATTTTAAATAGTCAGTTCCTCAGCCCCAGGTCAAGTCAGACGTTCTCCAGCCTGCTTTCTGGGCGCAGAGCCAGCAAGACTCCCCTAGGCAGGCCTCTCCTGGGCTCTGGCGCTTTGGGCAGCGGGCATCCCAGATTATCCCAGCGCGTACCCACGCTGTGTATACGAGACACCCTTGTTTATCCGCAGCTGCGTAGGGGCCTGCTGGTTGCTGGAGTGGGCGAGGGCGGGATCCTTGCCTTCGCTGGGGTGCGGCCCGCATTCGGTGGGCTCCCAGCCCCAGGTTGTGGCGGCGGTACTTGAACATTCTTTTGTTACTCAGCCAATCCCTCTCTTCTGGGCGTGCTCTGACCCGTGCTCCCGAGGGAAGCTTAGAAGCCGGCTCCGGCGGTGTGCAGGCTGATCTCCCACTCTCAGTCTGAGGACTTTGGCACGTTTAAACATATTCTTTCAGAAACCACTCCCTAAGCCACTACTTGTTTCCGATTGCCGAGGTCAGGATGTCATTCAAAGTCTTTATCGGAATTGGAATTTCGGACGCCAGGAGCAAAAACATCAACTCAAACTTTCTTTAAAACTCCTGGGCATCTTCTCCGAGGTGGTGTCCCGCTCTCCCCACCCCGAGATTTGTGCATATGGTATAGGTCACGTCTTCCTTTCTGATGTTTCTATCTAACGCCTCTCTTGAGCAAGCCGCTGGAGTGGCTTTTAAAAGGTTTCCCAGTCCCAGGTCTTCCCTCTCGGACGCGCTCGATCTCCTTGGCACTGCACGTTGGCCACCCGTCCGTGGCACAGCGTGCAGTCACCTCCTGCACACACGCCGAAGGTGGAGGCAGCAGCTCAGGGACGGCCCTCAAGGGAAAACCTACAACGTGAGCGAGAACAGAAGGGTTCCTGTGGAAATCGCGGTCTTGCTGGGCATCCCATGTGCTCACAGATACAATAATTAGTAGCAGATGTACCGCCACCTCTAGTGTGAGCGAATGGACTCCGTTTATAAGCCGCCACTCTCTACCAATTCTTTGAAAGTGATTTTTCTTCCTGTGGGAGGTGAGGTGGGCGGGAGGGAGGAGTGGCCTTACATCTGGAAGCAGGAAAACTGACTCTTGGGAGGCGGGGATGGGGGAGTAATAGCGGCTACTATCTGCAACAGATAAAGCCCAGCACCTGCTCAGCTGAGCTCTGAAAGCAAGGGAAGGAATTCTTTCCAAGAAGCGTCAACACAAGGGCCTCACTTACAAATAAAAAATAAAAAAAGCAAAAATAAATCAACAACAGTTTTTCACATAAAGTTCTCACTTATTCTTAAATCTTCAAAGAATAACTTGATGTGATCCATCAACCGAGGCACAGTCATTTCAGAACATGACTTTGAAAAATGATCTTTTTGTGCTCTAGAAATAGCACTCTTTCTCCACCAGGCACGTGAAACTCTACACATTTTCTGGCTTTGTGAGGTTGGCTTTCAGAAGTGAACATGGGTTTTATGTCAGGTGATGTCTCTTCAGTGGAGTTTTGCTTTTTGGTTTAATGCAAGTGATCATTGCAGCATGTTCATTCCCTGAAATCTCAATTGACACTGTTTCAACATTTACTCAGCACAGGGAAGTTAATGTGATTTGCTCTCACACAAAGGGAGGAAAATATCATAGATCAAACGGGGTGTGTTATTGATTATCAGAGCCTTTTCAAGTTTGCTCACCATTACATAAAGTGTTGTCCATGATAATGATAACATAATCTCTTGTGCCATTTAATTATCATAATTTTTGATAAAATGCTTTGCTCTTTTGTGGTAAGAATTTAACATTCAAGTGGGGAAAATTACTTC